GGGAACTACAATACTTGATGGTAGGTTGATGCTACTGATCGCATGGCGTGCAACCATGTCCTCTCCAAGATAATGTTATAAGGGGAAGGGACTTTCAATACCTAGAATTCCACCTGTTTCGTCATAGTTCCTGCCTTGACTAGGAGGATTATCTTGCCCACTGGCCACTCTGGCATTGAGTTGAATCCGTTCAAAGGAGATGTTGCACATGCCAAGTCTTTATTCTCCAATTTCAGTTGTTTGAAGGTTTCGTAATACATTATCTCACATGAGCTTCCTTGGTCAATCAAAATTCGTTTGACGTTGAAATTCTTGACGCGTAGAGTGACAACCAGTGCGTCATTGTGAGGACAATATATCCTTGCTAAATCTCTGTCTGAAAAAGATATGACATTTGTAGCCTCTGCTTTCCCCTTTTTGATGGTAGGTTATGCACTTAATACCTCCCTTAAGTGCTCAGCCTTTTTGATCATTCCCCTGAGCTCACATACCCGCTCAGGATCGAATAATCCATGTATTACGTTAATTACGCCTTGAGGTGGGGCGTCGACTGGCATTTCGTTTGGGTTGTTGTGGTTCTGGGGGGCTGGCTGTGTCCCTCCTTCTATGTATTGGTCCCGGTGCCCAGCTGCCACTAACTAATCCAAATGCTGCCTCAACGGCATGCAATTTTCAATGCGGTGCCCCTTTTCATCATGGAAGGTGCACCGGGACCTCTCGTCATAGTCTTTTTGTGCTTCTTCCAACTTTGCTGGCCATCAGACGAAAGGTTCACTACGTATTTCACTGAGAATTCGGTAGATCAATTTTTTGAACACCGTGGTAATGGCAGTGCGAACTCTTAGCCACCTTTTGTCTTGGTCCTCTCTGTTGGTCCGCCTGCCTTGCCCATTCTTGCTTGGCCGTTCTACCGTGTTGACTTTTGCCATAGTCTTTTTATTTGGCATTGCTGCTATGCCAGATTTTGTTTTAGCACGGGTGCCATCTTTCTCCACGCGAATATGTTGATATACTCTCTCCATTAAGGCCTCCATCGTGAGAGGGGGAGTCATAGTAATCGAGTCCCTCAATTTGTTGCTGACTGGCAGGCCCCGTTTGTATTGTGCAATGGCGAGGTTTGTAGAGCAATCCCCAATTTGGTTGAAGGTTTTCCAATAGCGACTGTTGTAGGACCTCAACGTCTCATTTTCGCCCATGTCAATGGAGAGTAATTGGTCGATCTCCACTGGTGTTTTGGTGTTTGTCTTGAATCTAGTCACGAACGCCTTTGCCAACTGTGCCCATGAGGTGATGCTGCCTTCTAGTAGCCTTTTGAACCAAGTTAAACCTAGGTCGCCCAGGCTAGATAGGAATAGGATACACGTTAAGGCCTCGTTCCGCCGGTATACTGCCATAACTTGGCGAAAGTGGCTTAGGTGCATGTAGGGGTCTGTCTTCCCTTCATAAATAGTGAATTTGGGCTGGAGAAAGCCCGAAGGTAGTGGTGCGTTCTCTATTGCCGGAACGAACGGCAAGCTCTGTAACCTTGCTAATGTTTTGTCCGTTGGTTTGTAAGTAAGACGCGGTATTGGCATTCCTACCTCAACGCTCCCATGCGTCCGAGGGGCCAACCGCTGAAGGGCTAAAACTCTGCGCGGGTCGCGTGCCTTGGTGTCCTCCTTCCATCGTGCCCTTTTTTCAAGCACAGTTCGCAAGTCAGATGACCTAGGCAACTCCGTGTGCCTAGATGACGTCTGGTGTGTGTGTGAGGGCCGATAGGTGCTTCCCTCAGTATATGACTTCTCAATTCTCGTTCTTTCAGACCTAGAGTAACGAGTCCTGGAAGTCCTTGATTGAGTGTCGCCTGTTCAAAAGCTCTTACTTTCTGCTTACGATGGCGTGGTATGCCTATCACGATCCTCCGAGTGGCGAGGGGGCGTGTTGCCTTTGCGCCCCTCTCCTGTCGCCACCCTTTTTCCTTTTATCTGGCGTTTCATCAACTCCATGTCTGCCGACATCCTCCTTATTAATTCGTCCTGCTCCTTCACGTGATCTTGTGAGGGTCCATCCTCTACCTCAGTCTTTCAGGACTTTGAGAGCGACGGGGGCTGTTAACCTGCCTACCCCTTGCATCCTTCCGGGGGTTCTGTCACTGGGGTTTCAAATCCTCCATGGGAGGGACAGAAGGCAAACCTTCATACCTCCCACCCCCCTCCGGGGTTTGCCTATCAATGGCTGATTGCGGCAAGTCTTCATTGTGTGCCATTGCTTCCAATTAGAGAGGAAAACTCGATCAAGAGGTTTTGTTCTTTCTGGAATTCCCACAGACGACGCCAATTGTACGAGCACGAAATAATCTTCTCGTATAATCTTGTTGATCAAGTCTGCGCTCCTTCAAACGTCGTCGCTTTACTCCTTGAAAACACAAACGTGAGCTAGTCGACAGGTGTGTGCCGGATACCTCTCTGATGCCTAAGTCAGCAAAATAGGCAAATAGAAAAAAACTCTGTGTATTCGGGAATCAAAGTTGTGTTACCTCTACATAGGTTATATTGTGAGCTTTTAAGGATAATGCTTATCCTTCAACACTCCCCTCACTGCTTAAACCACGTGAGATGGTTTTATCACGGTTGGATGACAGGATGACCGAGCTAACACTTGCCCTTTAACATACTCAATTCGGTGATTCTGTACGCAGTGCCTAGCTCGGTCCCCGTCCAAGTACACCTCGGTTCTAGTTGTTCAAACCGAGCTAACTGCAGCAATCCCTCACCGGGCTAACCAGGATGAGGTCGATCACGCAAGGCCCAAGCTCCTTAATCCATAGCTCGGTCCAAACTTCGCCTGGTCAAGCTAGCTAGCTCTAAGACCGGGCTACGTCAAACCTTACCCCGGTTCATTGTGCGGCCCTACTCACAAAGAAGCCCTTAGCTCGGCCCAATTATAAATTACCCTCTCAGTACTCATTTTGGAATGGTTTGAAGAACCTCACATTCTTTTTTTTTCTTTTTTGTGTTACATTTAGAAAAAGTACACTAAGATTTTTTTTTATTATTATTTTTTACATTAGAGCATTACGTTTGGGAAAAATACATAAAAGAGTTTTTACATTAAAGTATTAAGCTAAGCAAATTTTTTGGAATGTTATATTGAAGTGTTACGTTTGGAAAAAGTACGCTAAAGTATTTTTTTGTGTGTTACATTAGAATGTTACATTGAAAAGTTTCTGTGTTATATTAGAGTGTTAGATTAAGGAGTTTTTTTAGAATATTATATTAGAGTGTTACATTTTGGAAAAGTACACTAAGAAGTTTTTTTTATACATTACATTAGAGTGTTATATTAAGAAATTTTTGTATATGTTACATTAGGGTGTTACATTAAGGAGTTTTTTTGAAGTGTTATATTAGAGTATTACGTTTAGGAAAATACAATAAGGAGTTTTTTTGTGTGTTACATTAGAGTGTTATAATAAAGAATTTTTTTGTGTGTTAGATTAGAGCTACTAAGGAGTTTTTTTGGAGTATTATGTTTGGAAAAAGTACAGGAAGAAGTTTTTTTATGTGTTACATTAGGATATTACACTAAGATTTTTTTTTAGTGTTACATTTGAGTATTATATTGAAGTATTACAGTTTGAAATTATACATTTGTCAAAACTTACTAAATAATTTTTGTACTCCTTTTGAAATATTTGAAAAATCGCACATCCTTTTGAAATATTTGAATAATCTCATATTTTAAATCAATTTTGTATTATTTTTAAAATGTTTCCCAAATAAAAAAGATTTTTATATAAAAATTCATGTCAAATTTGATTCCCATATATTGTGTACATACCTTTCTAGCACAAAAGAAAAAAAGAGAGAATATAATAGAAATAAGAGTATACCTGTAAATCTAATTTGTAAATAATATATTAAATCTATTTTTTCAAAATTAATGCGATTAATTGATCTATAAAACTTTCCTAAAAAACTTTTTAGAACTAAATGGACCACTATTTGTTAAGATGAGATTTATAAGTAAATTTTCCTTATTTTTTTTAGACAAATCACTTCATAATTTTTTTGAGCTAAACAAACACAACCTTGAGAGAAAAAAAGTGAAAAAAAGAAGAAGAGAGAAAAAAAGTGAAAAAAAAGAAGAAGAGAGATCATAATATTAGGCTGTTAGAACTTGGAAGATTAGAAATGGAGTGGAGATAGCAAATTGAAGAACATACTAATCAGCGATGGGCATTGACTAGGCGAGAGAGGCTCTATTTGTTGCTCTGGCCTTCTCTCTCGCGCTCTCTACTCGCCTTCTATTTCGATCACTCTCTCTCTCTCTCTCTCTCTCTCTCCTTCTCTCTCTCTCTCTCCCCTTCCGATTCCGAAATCATCATTTTCGCCATTATCGCTAATCACCCTACCTTCAATACCATCTATCCAAATCACGTTCAGACACACAGAGGCGATTTCTGACAACTATTTCCGGTTATCTCTCTCTCTCTCTCTCTCTCTCTCTATTTCTGATTCTTACTTTACTTTCGTTCTGATCCGCACATCGATTCTACTCGTTTATATGTTTATATTTTGATATGATGTATAATGGGTTGCTTTTAATATGTGAATAATGATCTATAATTTGATGACAGAATATGTTTAATGCTACAGCAAGATCTGCAACTAAATTGATATTTCAATGAGTATTTTTTTTGGATAAAATCGATCCGATTCGAATAAAGTATCTTTGGTTGCTGAAAAAACCCAGAGTAGGAGATTTGCTTTGTGTTGTACCAATAAATGTAATTAACCAGGGAATTCAGTTTTTTTGGGAATGTTATATTTTTCAATGTTGGTTGGTTCACTTTTGGTAACCAAATCATGATGGGCTTCTCGTGGATTACCCATTTTTGTTAAGTTTGTAATTTTTTTTATGAAGAAGCTTATATTAGTTGTGGAGTTTGTATGTCAGCTAACTGTTCTATTTGATTGTTGGAATTTTTTCAAGTGATTACGGTGGTCTTAAATTTCATTGTTTTATCTTTTTCAGGTGTTGTAGGTGTTAAATAGTTTGTATGCTGATTTACTAGGTTAAGTCCATAGCAATAATATCATGGAAGAGGAAGAAACACAAGAGCTGGGAGAAATCTCTGGGAAGGATTTAAATAATCATGAAGAAGGTAACCGTGTAGATGAAAAATTAGGGACATATCATACAGAAGATACCAACAGCTCCGATGACAACAAAGATGGTATAGAAAGTAAGGTAGTTTT